AAACACTTTTCCTGAAGCTTTTTGTCTCGTGCTGATGCACTCCCGATCTGTAAGTAGTCGAGCAAAATTGCTCGTCAGAATACTTCTAAAGAATACAATACAAGAAGCAATTGATAGCAAAAAAACTGCAGCACCACTCCCCTCCCCTGTTTCTCCTCCTCCCGTTCCTCCTCATCCTTTTCGTCGTCGTACTTTTTGCATGTGCGGTGTTCACTAGATTATTGGCACGGTAGCGAGCATCACAATGAATTCTGAACGCAAGCAATTCTGTTAACAAATTTTTGATTAAGTACTTGCAACACAGACAACTTTGCAGGCACTGTACAACAGATATTTTGAAGATAAGACAAAGGTTGTGAAGACGAGCTACAAACTGTTTTCCTCTAGACAGCAGAAAGCTGAAGGAAGTGAAACAGCGAAAACGTATCTGTCAAAAGTGTTGAAAATGCAGCTAAATTTGTGTGCCCCGATTGTGCCTACAATATATCAGACGAAATGGCTAACAAAGTACCAAAAAATGTGCAGGATGAAGCAGACCGATCAGGAAATCAATCCATGCCAATAAGATCGATTTCAAGAGCAAATAGTCCAGAGTCATTTGATTTAGCTAATATATGCAAACAAATGTTTCAATAAAACAACTGCTTGGCAGACACAATGTAACTGCTTTTAGTTTTAACTTTACCAGACTGAGACCTTTTTCACGTAAATCCAAGCACTACTTCATAGTGGAAGAGCTGTCTCCCACTGAAACCTGAAAGAGATTTGAAGATGACCATGAACTCTTAAATACTTCATAAGATTAAATTTTATTGCGTTGAAGACCAATAATTTTAGGCTTTAGAGTGGCTGACAAAGAAAATAAATGCTTTTTATACGTTTTTTGCTGTGCAGCGCTATAATGCTGCTACAGCGAGCAGAAACGCATATCGTCGAAAGTTCGTCTGTGTGAGTTCGAAAGAGAGTGAACTTTGTCACCCACTTTCATCTCAGCAAAAAGAAAGCTGGAAGGCTGAAATTTTGGACATATGTTCCCCTCCCGAGTGTCATCCTCCCGTTTTAAAATTTTGCTTATACGCGCTTAGGCCTCGCGTAAGGACCCCCGAAAAAAATATGCTAATTTCTATAGCGGGAAACGATTTCGCAAACCGGGCGTGGCAAAAAGTTGAAACTTTGGAGGGATATTCTTTCTGTGTATGCGAGCTAAGGATTTCAACTGTCGCGGGCGCTCGTGCAGCCTATGATCACGACAAAGCTTGCCCTGTGCACTGTCCTAACTGGAAAACTAGCCGGAAAGCAGTGGCTGAAATTTCGTCAGCATGTTCATCGCCCATATGGGAAATCGTACACCCAAACTGAATACCGATTTGCACTTGCGCCACAACCTGGCACTTCAGAGATGTTTGTAGCGAAGTAGCTATTTCGTTTACCGGATGAAGGTGCGGGTTGAAATTTCGTTGCGATATTCTATTTTCATGCATGGTCTTAATTCTGCTTGGAGACAAAATTCCCTGGAGGTGGCTATGAGGAATACTCAACCTCACCGCACACTCAGAAACGAGTGCATTTTGTACCGAGCGACCGCCCTCGTCTACTCCCAATACTGTTACTGAACTCACTTAAATGTTTGAACTTTTTGACGAACGGCCGCTGTAGCAGCATTTTAACTTTTCAGTGAATTGGAAATTTGCATTTTTTCGAAGAGTGAGCATTTACTAGAAAAACAACCAGGCTTCAGCAAAAAACTGGTAACCATGTATCTGGAAAACCATGCTGCCCTATAATGCAACACCTTCATCCAAACTGACGCCCTTTCTGTTGCATACCGGAAGAGGCCAGATCACGACCAATATGAGCCCAAGTGTCAGGCTACAGCGTAGGAAACATCCTGCTATTAGTGCCTGCGGGTTAGTACAAAAACTCATGATCGCGTCGGCAAGCTTAGTGCGTTCCAGCCTGGGTTTTGATTTCGGGCTTGCTTACTTGAAAGTTATTTTTGCGTTTACGGGCGGCAATTACAAAAACTCGGGTCGGCTACAGCGAGCAGAAACGCATATTGTCGTAAGTTCGTCTGTGCTAAGAAGCGAGTGAACTTTGTCACCCACTTTCATCTCAGCAAAAAGAAAGCTGGAAGGCTGAAATTTTGGGCGTATGTTCCCATCCCGAGTGTCATCCTCCCGTTTTAAAATTTTGCTTATACGCGCTTAGGCCTCGCGTAAGGACCCCCGAAAAAAAATGCTAATTTTTATAGCGAGAAACGATTTAGCAAACCAGGCATGGCAAAAAGTTGAAACTTTGCGGGGATATTTTTTGTGTGTATGCGCAAATAATTTTTTGCCGCAAATAATTTTTCCTCCCGTCGGCCGGTATGGCTGCCCCACGACGGATGGCGGCAGTTTGAGTGTGGCAGGTGGAAGCGGGGTAATATGTGACAGGTTTCGTTCAAGGCAGAGGCAGGGAGCTAGGATAGGTTGATATAAGGACTAAATGGCGTAGATTCTTTGCCGATTGATTGATTAGCGCACATTTGGAGAGGAGAGGGGAGCGGTGAAGAACGGAAATGATGAGGGATTGTGCTCCTGGGATTTCCCTTTTTATGAAACTGATGCTTAGGTAAAGCTGAGAGCTAATAAGTTTCATGAAGTGAGCAAAAACAGGTTGGACTGAATGCATGGGGATGAAGTCAGCCTTCACTTCTGTGAAATTTTGAAGACAAAAAAAAAAATAGAAGTATAATTGTTGAGTACAGTTGCAAGCTGCGGGAAGCAACACTGTGGAATTGTAACTGCAGTTCTCGTTTAAATACAATTGAAATTATTTGCCCTCAGCTTCATCTAGGCATAAGTTTCAGTAAATCCTGTCGTACTTATTTGCTCTCAGTTTTACTTAAGCATAAATCTTATAAATGCGGGAACCGCTTATCTACTCGCATAAACTGAATTTTTGTTTGTTTTTGGCCACAGGCTCCAATTCTTTAATTTAGTTTTTTTTCTTTTATTCACAAGTTCAGGTTTATTTTAGTTTACTTTTCTTTGTGGTGCTTTGTTGGTTTATTTTCTTATTTATTGCTGTCTGCAGTTCTTGCCTCGTACTCCTGACTACCACCCTTGTTCCCCTTCTGCATCCTTTCGCCAATCCCTGCCTCTAGAGCCACATCGGGGCACCCATCACCTCCAACCACTGTCACCGTTTATCGCCCTGAACTCCTAACCAGTGACTTCATTTCTCCCCACAATCCTGGCCTCAATCGCGCCCTCTGAGCTGTATCTGGACAACTACCAAGCAATACCCCACCCACGTCCAATCCTCCCACCCATCACCTCCCGGCCACGCGATGCAGTCGCCAGCGTGCCTGGCAAAGTTCCAGCGGGCGGCGTCGCGAAATAATTTTGGCAGAGATGTTAGAGCAAAGAGCTGGAAAGCCCAAACACCATCGATTGTTAGCCAAGCCGAGTTTTTATGCGTTTTTGCTTATATGCAATTGCAAAAACGCATATTGTGACGACCCCGGTATGTATTTGTATGTGTGTGTGTATGTGTGTGTGTGTGTGTGTTCGTCTGTCCGGATATTTCAACTCCGCACCCAAGCAAGCTCCGGCGCCTAAATTTTGCTGTTAGGCTCCCCGGCCAAGTGCCACACCAGGACTGCGGCGTCAACCCTTCCACAAGTCTGGGCCCCGCGTACGAGGCGGTGAAAGAGTAAAAATATGTGTATGCGTGCTGGAGAGGTCCAACTGCAAGTTACGCACTCGATTTCGTAATGACTTATGCAAGTGATTTGCGTGTATATGTATGTGTTTGTGTGGTGGATCTACGGGGACCAGGTCAAATAACAGGAAGTATCATACTTTACTGAAAAGAGTTGCACGGCCACAGAGATGCCCTAACGGGCTATTGAGTAAGTCGCAGTCAAACAAAACAAACCTCGCAAGAAGTCTCGGCCTAAGCTTTCAATTTCACAAACGATGCCCTTGTAGGGCCGCGCAAAAGTCGCGCCAGATAACAGCACTGATACAAATAAACTAAACGCCGGAATCACAAAACGCGGGGAATCAGGCAGGAGCGCTGACGTCGAGAGCTGAATCCCAACTGCCGTCGTGGCGTTCTTTTATACACTTGCAAAGTAATTTCCATTAGTATACAAGATAGTTTTTTATACATTCTTCGATTTGAGAATGGGATTCGAAAGATGTACTTTATGTTTATAGTTAAGCCAGTTTTTCTACTTCCTGATCTGGGAGCATGGTCCTAGATCTACGGGAAGATATTTCCCAACTGAGTTTTTGCGTTATGTTTTGAATTAGGTCACTACATAACGCCGAAGCATTTACTTACAATGCTTCGCCTAAAAAAGGGTCCTGATAGGATCAATGTTTTGTAAAATTTATTTTTTTATTTATATATGTATATACTTTGAATTTTGTAATTAATTTTCAAGTATTTCCGGTTTTCTGTTTTACCTCCCACGTCGTTTACAAAGGTTTTGGCGGGAAAATCGCTAACTCGGGAACTAGAAAAGCTAGGAAGCTGAAATTTCGAGGTTATTTCCCTCGTCTCCATAGAACTCAAAGATTTAAAATTCAGTCCTCAGGCATGCGTGATTTCCGCGTATGGCCCCGTGGGGGTTCCTGGCGTGAAAATCGCTAACTTGGAAACCAGGAAAGCTTTTTCAAATTTTCAAGGAATGTTCACAGCACACGTACAATTTAAAGTTATCAAATTCGGCCCCTCAGTGCGAGTGTTTTTCACCTACGGCCCCGTGAAAGTTTTTGGCGCAGAAATGGCTAGCTCGGGAACCAGAAAAGACCGAAGGCTGAAATTTT